CATACACTTTTAAGATTTTAAGTAAACTACATGTATGTGTATATATATATATATATATATATATATATATTAAAGAAAAACTGTACTGTAGATAATATAATATCAATGAAATAAAAGGGCACTTAAATGTACTTAACAAGAGACATTTTCATGACTGTTTCTTAACACACTTAAGTACACTTAAGTGCACTTTGTAATGACATTAAAGTATATTTCAGTTCACCATAAATGCTTTTCAGTACATTCAGCAGTACTTCGACCATATTTCAAAGACAATAGTTTGACAAAATTATGAATTAGATTAGATTAGCACTTAGCCTACTTAAGTGGGTCAAAACAACACTCTAATGTTCAGCTAATTGCACTTTTTAACTATAATTCATTTTCATTTAATTGCAAATAACATGGAATTACGTTTCTGAAAACATTACATTCAGTTCACACGTAAGTATATTCCCACTTAAGTACTCTTATAAAAAGTATGCTTTTTAAAAGATTACTTAAGTGTACTTTTTTTGTCACAAGGGTTACTTATTGTAAGCTTTACAGCTCTGGAAAGTAAAATTATATACTTATTTTTCTAATTCATTTGTGCCTACCCGGTACAGCAATAGTCCACTCCTCACACTTGAATGTCTCACTGGGAAGAGACGGGATGCCCACACCAGCCATGTTGGCTGCACGTACCTGGAACTGGTACAGCATGTTTTCCTTTAGCTCTGAAACCTAGACAGAAAGACAAGGTAGGAGATCCCAAATTGGACACAGCATGGTCTAATATTTTACTTGTTATTACACAAATGTCCTACTTACTCTATAAGCTCTCTCACTGACAGACTTAATATTAGACAGGCGGTTTCCAGAGCAAGACCAGAGAGTCCTTACGCACCTCCTGCACTTGGAGGTCATGGGGTGGTCCTAAAAACAGGGTTTTAGTTTAGAGCATTTCAGAGAGAACCGATGTGATGAATAAAGTGAAAATGTACTTTAAGTACATTAAGCAATACTGGATGAGTCTTATTTTTTTAGATTGTTCTTTGATTCAAGTTAAATATCATATGAACCCTACTTCCAGAATTCTGAAGCATGTGCTTTAAAACTACAGTGTATTTTATTCTATTGGAATTATAACAGTCATGGGAAATTTATTTTCTAATAGGTCTAGTTTTTATTTAGCTTTTGTTGGAGTATATAGGATCCTTAAGGATAAGTTCCAAATTCTGATTTTAATTGGATTTCTTTAGGATTTTTGACTGAGGACTACAGATTATCAGTGTGCTCAGTATCTTAATTGTATTTAATGTTCAGTATGCTGAATTGTATTTAATGTGCACTTGTAGTTTACTTAA